CCTCTATCTCCCTTCTCTTTCTGTTATCCCCCCTTTCCCCCCTCATTATCTTTCTTTCCCTCTTTTTTATCAGTCTCTCTTTTTCTCTTGTGCCCTTTCTTTTTTCTCCCTTTCCTCTCCTTCTTTCTATCTTTCCTTCTTTCTTCCTCTCATTTTCTTTCTCTCTCTCTCTTGTGCCCTCTTTCTCTCCCCCCTCCTCTTTTATCTCTCTCCTTCCTTCTTCCTCTCTTTTTCCTGTTCTCTCTCTCTCTCTCTCTCTCCTTCCCCTATTATTTTCTCTTGCTTTGTTATCTTTCATCCTCTCTTTCCTTTTTCTCTCTTTTGTGTCCTTTTCTCCTTTTTCTTTCTTATTCCTGTCCTCTTTTCTTCCTCTCCCTCCCTTTCTCTCTCTTGTGCCTCTCTCCTGCACATAGGAATCTCCCCATATTTGTATTAGGATTTTTTTTTTAAAAAAACTTCTGGCTGTCCCCCACCCACTCTCCATTTTATCTTGAGACACAGAAGGGTTGTGAGGATGGTGGGGGAAGAAAGTCTGGGATGGGCAGGCCTGTGTGGGGACTTGCTCTGAGGTCCCATGTGTATTTATTCTGCATATTAATTACATCTTTTGGCACTGCCTGGAAACACCCTCTCTGTGAGACATTGTGGTGTAAAGATCAGCATGTGGGGATAACTTTGCTCATAATGTGCAGAATGGGGCGAGGATCCCAACAATAAAGTAGTTTGAGTATTAAAAGCAAGCAAAATCTGAGAGTGACAGTGAGCAAAAGCAGTGGCTCAAAGACTCTGTTTATAAAGAAGGATTATTATGATGATTAGTGCAAGTGGACATAGATAGCCCTCTTTCTGCTTCTGTGACACATCTGTGGCTGATCTCCCTTTTAAATCTGTCTTCAGCTTGCTGTGTGAGAGGAGAAATAGAAAATCAAACATCTGTGTTCCTGATAGACAGGGCCCTGTCACCTATATGTAGGGCCTTTCAAACCATTTGCAAAGTATTTTCTCTGTCAGTTATTTGGGTTAATGTGAGTGGTGGTAGGATGAAGAATCAAGAAGGAAACATTTTGGAATGGGAAGATAGGAGGGATCAGGGAGCAGATGAGTTATTTGGGTCTGTGGAAATGTAGGTCAGCAGAATATCTTAATCTTCTTACATAAAATACCAAATTTGATAGAAGAGCAAACAGGTGCCCTTTTGAAGGTATCTTGGCTATTTACCTAAATAATGTTTTCCCTTCTCTTCTTTCAATCTGTTTTTTTCTTTAGCACTGAAGGAGGTACTGCCAGTTGCTGGAAAAGAGGGAACACTTTCCATACCAGCATATGTGTGTTTGTTGGTTTGTTGTCAAATTCCATAGGCCTCCTCTTATTCTAGTGATTCATAATTCCAGCTTGTGGGGCAATGTTTGGGACGTTTTATCCTGTTCAGCCCCCAGACATTCCATAGATGTTTTCAAAAGTGTAAAGACTGGGCATGAGTCTGATCCTGTAATAGCATGAGCTGTGCCAATGCTGAAGCAAGGCCTGACTTATGATAGTGGGGCAGGACCCAGGGGGCAATTAGTTCCAATAAGAATAAGATGAAGGCTCTGAGGTTTGTAGGATCTCAAGTTGGGTAAGTGACCTGTTCTTGATGGGGCATCCCTAAATCCACCTCTTCTATTGATGGCTCAAATGGACTCCATGGCCTAGAGTACTTGAGTTAAACTTTGACTGGTCATCTAGTTCTGTTATTTTTTTCTCATAACAATAACCAAGCTAAAATAATTCCTCTATTGGTATCTTCCCAATTGGATTACTGTAATAAATGTAGATATTTGCTGGAATATTTAGAAACCATATAACAGTGGCTACCAGTCTGAATTCATGATGTTGGCACTGACATTCAAAGCTTTAAATGGCATCCAAATTTGCACATGTGTTTTGGGTTTTAAAATGTATTAAACTGGTTTCACCATCTTGTTATATCTTGTTATATTTTAAAATATGGTTTTGTCTACTAAAATTGTTTCTGTCTGTTTCATATTGCTTCTGTGGGTGCTAGAAACAATATCATATGAAAGCTGACTGGCACAACCTGGGGATCACAACCAGACACAGTGAAGACATCTGCCCTTGCGCTATGCTACTCTGCTGCTGAGTACGCATGCCCAGTGTGGAACACATCTCACCACACTAAAACAGTGGATGTGGCTCTTAATGAGACATGCCGCATTATCACGGGGTGTCTGCACCCTACACCACTGGAGAAATTACACTGTTTAGCCGGTATTGCACCACCTGACATCCGCCGGGAAGTAGCAGCCAATAGTGAAAGGACCAAGGCAGAGACATCTCCAGCTCATCCCCTGTTTGGGTATCAGCCAGCACGTCAATGACTTAAATCAAGAAATAGTTTTCTAAGATCTACAGAGACACTCGCTGGAACACCTCAGCAAGCGAGAGTCCAAAAGTGGCAGGCTCAAACCCAGAACCTCAACCAATGGCTGATACCAAATGAGAGACTCCCCCTGGGCACACAGAAGACTGGGCGACTTGGAAGGGGCTGAACAGACTGCGCTCTGGCACCACGAGATGCAGAGCCAACCTTCAGAAATGGGGCTACAAAGTGGAATCCACGACATGTGAGTGTGGAGAAGAGCAAACCACTGACCACCTGCTGCAATGCAACCTGAGCCCTGCCACATGCACAATGGAGGACCTTCTTGCAGCAACACCAGAAGCACTCCAAGTGGCCAGATACTGGTCAAAGGACATTTAACCAACTACCAAACTCACACATTTTGTATTTTGTCTGTTTGTTTGCTTTGTTCTGTTAGAAATGTAAAATAATTTGAGTGGTTATCCTGACATGACAAATAAATAAATATTGCTTCTGTTGGTTAAAATGAGTTTATTGAGTGCTGCTTTGTGCATTTATATAGCTATTTTTGAATGCTTATATATTTCCCTTCATCAATCTTAGAATCTGAAATAATATTTCTGAATGAGACTGCAGATTAATCTATCCCCCCTTTCTGAGTAAAAATAATGAAGAGTCTTTCAACACTTTCAAAATCAATGCATTCATCATGGAAGAAATGTTTTAAAGAAAGGTGTTTGCGATGTCTTGCCATTGGCAACAATGCCTGTATCATTTTGCTCTACATTTTAAAAGTCAAAAGAAAGTAAGAAAGATAAAAAGTTGCATTCCCTACTAGGTTGTTAATTAATTAATTTTTTATTTATTTCGAGCATTTCTGCCCCACCCTTCTCAACCCCCTAGGGGGGACTCACAGGGCGGCTTCCAGCCGGCACATATTCGATGCCTACAATTCAGCACAATAAATAACCTAACAACAATAAACATCAATAGTTAAAACATTAAATTAATACAATAAAATCTCATAGAAAGGTCAGCCTGGTGGCCAACGTTTCGCCAGTACATGAGTCCAATCAGCATATCATAATCCATTTCCAAAGCTTTAGTCATCATTGTCCTTATCATTCTGCCCGATTACCCAAAGGCCTGGTCCGATATCTATGTTTTTAATTTCCTTCTAAAAGAGAGGAGGGATGGCGTTAATCTAATTTCCACGGGGAGTGAATTTCACAGGCGGGGGGCCACCACCCAGAAGGCCCTATCCCTTGTCCCTGCCGGTCTCATTTGTGACAAAGGCGGGGCCGAGAGCAGGGCCCCTCCAGAAGATCTTAAATTCCTAGGCGGGACGTAGAAGGAGATATGTTTGGACAGGTACGCTGGGCCGGAGTCGTATAGGGTTTTATAGGTCAAGACCAGCACTTTGAATTGTGCTCAGAACTGGATTGGCAGCCAGTGGAGCTGACATAACAGAGGGGTGGTGTGCTCCCTGTATGACGCTCCGGTGAGTAATCTGGCTGCCGCCCATTGGACTAGCGTGTTGCAGTAATCTATTCGGGATGTAACAAGGGCATGGACCACTGTGGCCAGATCCGACATCCCAGATTGTCCTTTTGCTCTCTGACAATGGTCCTCCATGCACGATCTGGAGTTCCAGCTTTGTGTGGAATACCATAGCTGCATGTAGCTGATTACACTCCCAGCCTTTCTAGAGTTGATCTCTGCCAGTCTGAAAAGGTTGGAGGAACAGTGTTCTGCTTCTCCATCTGCTTTCTCCCTGTTCTGTTTCAGAAGGCCTGAAGAGGGTTGCTTTCTTCCTTACTGGGACCATCTTCTGACAACTTCCACATCTGCTTTTCTTCATGGGCTGATTATATTTATTAATTCATAATCACGCAGTCACTGGGGAGTACACCTCATGAAATCCTTCTTACATGTTTATGCATAAAGGTATTCTTGTTACATTGGCAGGCTGTCCTGCCATCTAGGTGTGTGCAAAGTCAAAGCTATAAAGAAGGTAATGTATGAACAAGAGCTGGAAACTGAAAAGAGGAATTATTCTACAGATGCAGAAGGGTGATATTGCTAGTAGATAAAAGGAGAGAAAAGCACATATGGGAGCAATTTCACAGAGTTCAGTATTTAAGTGAATAAAATAGGCAAGGTTAGAATTTGTCCTGGAAAATTACAGTTTATTAGAGGAAAATAAAGAGGAACACTAAAGAAGACAGAATTGAGAACATTCACTCTTTGCGGTATGACTTTCTCTCACTTTTCTCTACTGACTCAATTTGTTTTTCAATCTGATTTTTTTAAAAGATATACTGTATATACTCTTTCTTATGAAATAAATGGGACTTTCTCATATTATTTAATGTCAAAGCATTCCATCAAATACAATTGTCCAAAAACAATGACAGTCAGACACAAAATGCACGCGTTCATGCATTTGATTGAGAGTTACTTGCAATGTTTCTGGGCTTTTTGGTTTCGTGTACAGTTGTGATCAAGCTACAGATGATAAGAGAGAAGAAAATGATAAAAAAGTAAAATAACAGGAAAATAACAAAAAACATTGTGAATAAAATTCAGAACCACATTTCCAGGAAATTGTGCAGTAATGTTATTTTCTTTTTTACAGCACTCTGATTCGAATTGCAATCTGAAGAAACGAATGAACTCCATGACATCTCAAACAGATCAGTCCCCTGAAACAAGTATATTGTCCAATAGCGCATCTCAAGGTCAACAAATATCTGCTCCTTCACCACCTTCACCACCACCTCCACCACCAGAAATTGGAGGCACAAGTAAAATAGACCAATATTCTAGGATCCTTTTTCCCGTGGCATTTGCAGGATTCAATCTAGTATACTGGGTGGTTTACCTTTCAAAAGACACTATGGAAGTGAGTAGTAATATTCTATAGCAAGGTGGCATGTGAGGGTGTTTCCAGATGGACAGCTCTTATCATTCCTGGTTAGAAGGCCTTGTATAATTATTCCATCTTTCTAGGTACCTGTCCAAACAGGACCTTTATTGCAGTATCTACCGCAATAAAGGGGCTGTCCAGACTATGTTCTGGACAGTCCCGAATTAATTTGCTACAAACCAGGAAAACCCTTTTTTGTAGCGAATTAATTTGATAGTGGATTTATTCCGTGCCTTCTTGGAGGGAACAGGATAAATCCACTATTTCCAGACATCATTCCCACAGTTTACCGGGATAAATAAGCCCGATAAACTGTGGGAATACCCACCCTCCCCCAAGCCCCAAGACCCCTTAGAAAAGTAATAAAAACTCCATTACAAGCCTCGGCTGGCTCTCCCGGCATGTAGAAATGATGCACCAGGAGAGTGGGAAGGGATTTTCTTCCCTCCCCCCTACCCTCCTGGGGCGGCTGAGGCTTGTAATCAAGGATGGGTAATTTTTTATTACTTTTCTAAGTAGTCTGGGGGCTTGGGGGAGGGGGTAGGGTCTCCAGATGTTCTCTCAGGCTAGCGCACACTTTCTGGGGTAGGTGTGGACAGGCCCCCAGGAAAATCCGCATTTTTAAAATGCAGATTCTCTTGGGATAAAGGCCTGTCTGGATCTGGCCTAAGAGAGGAAAGCAGATAGAAGAGTTGATAGGACGATACAAGTGGATTGCAATGAAAGATGACATAATCAGGAGGCTTTCCTCCCATAGGATTCTGTGTGAATGGCAGCAAATGGACAATCAAATCCTTGTCTGGAAGCATCCTCTATTTGCTTGATATGATATATAATTTTCTGATACATCAAATGTTGAGAATCATTTTAATGAAAATATACAGTTGGTGTCAACAAGCAATCTTCTATGACTAAAAATGTTTTCTGTTCATTTTTGGAAATCAAGAAAACCAATCATGAAAAATCATCTGTGCATGGACTTGCCTTTTATATGGAAATGATTTGAAAATGGGTTCATGCAAAGGCAGGGGGATAAATAGGGATGGCGGTACAAGAAATCTTTCCTGGCACGAACTTCAGCAGTTTATTCCAATTTGGGTCAATTCCTCCCATTCCAGCCGGGGCCCATGCCCATTCTTTGTCCACTCCAGGGATACTGTTTGTTGTGCATGGCCATCTCCATGGCAGGGTTTATGGTGAAGAAATGGAAAACTCTTCTTCCTTTTGGCTTTCATATGTGAACTTATTTTAGGATTAAATTCAGCATGTTTAGGATCAGGATGCAGAGAAGTTAAGGGGAAATATACTACCAGCTGAGTATACTCCTAACCAGGAGGTTAAATGGATGGGACAGTATGCTGTCATGAACTCTAAGAAGGAATTCACTATGACATGTTGATGAGGACACTAAAAGTTATCTTTTTTATACCAAGCTGGATTTCTGGTCCCCTTTCTGTCCTTTCAACTCGGACTCACCATCAGCTTTAATTCTGGGATTTCAAATCCTCTTTTCTAGCCTTATATGGAAATTCTTGTTGTTCTCCGCGTCTCTCATCCAAATACTAACCTTGCTTAGCTTTCAAGGTCAAACACAATGAGATATGTTCAGGCCAATTTTGTTTTCTGGTATAATCCTAACCCCATATTTGGCTATACCGGTGTTTCAGAATATTCACTTATATTTCTGAGCCTATCTTCATTATACTATTCTTGGCTTTACTGTATCTCAAATCATGTGAAACAGGAAGATCTGTCAATGAAAGGTTGTTCTTATGTAGTTGGCTGAATTGGGATGCACATTTTAAATCTGAAAATCTCCTTTCAGTGGGTAGCATCCAACAGGGCACATTTGCTGACAGAATGAATTGAGAGGAGGAGATTACAATGACTCCAACCCTCACACACATAAAAAAGCTGATAAACCCTCCTAAACTCATTTCCAGGTGATACTAAAGGCTGCAGCAGGAAGGGAGAGGAGCAAAAGAAGCCATTGCGTTGGTGCTAAAACATTGGTGCAATCTTGAATTTATGCTAGAGGGGTTATTTATATTAAATCTTTATAAGAGGCTTTGATGGGGCCTGCCACCAAATGGAAGGACTGATTTCTGAAAAATGGGATATTATTGTAATGGTATGGTCGTAGGTGGGGGTCCCCTGATAGAGTAGTAAGAGTAGCAAGAGTTGATTTGTGGCTTGTTTAGGTTGCTGCCTTACTGAGAATCTCATTTAATATGATGTAATTTAAATGAGCATAGGGACAAATTCAAAACGGGACGTCTGCTGTGTAACTTTACATAGTCATATTTGAAGCAGAGTACTTTCTGCCATGTGATTGGTCCAGGAGAATATGGGTCTGTTATTTTAAAAAGCTGACAGATGTTTAATTAAGGAAGCATGCATGGTGAGGTTTATAAATTGCAAAATCAAAACATTCAATCAATTGTAAGAGGATGGACATCCTTTTCCACATAAGATCAGTTTGTAATTAATTTGGATGGAATCTATCAGTGTGTGGCGTCGCTGTCATGCGTACATAAAATTGGATCAATGCCACATATTTCATAGTTTATCTAACACAAACACACTCCTCTCATAATCACAGTGAGATTTACCACTTTGTAAATTAGCACAGACAGACAGGAGACAGACAGAGATTGATGGAGAAAGGATTTCCCCCTTCATTTCCTTTCTTTTAAAGAAATTGCATCTGTGAATACAGAATTAAGGACAAAATACAAATTTTGGAAGCATAACCAAATATTTAAACCATGTCCTATATCAAAAGGTTCTCCTTCATCAATTAGATTTTCTACCTTGAATTGTATATTCTGTCTCTCTCTGTATGTGTGTATCTGTAGGTAGGTAGAAAGATAAATGAATGTGATTAACGAACAGAAGTAGAGAGAGAGAGAGGGAGAGGGAGGGAGGGAGGAAGAGTTACTTTCTGATTTCTTCTGTTGCCAGGGATGAAACTGAGCTGCATAGTACAAAGCTGTTTAGAACAGTATTTTATCAGCTTTCTTAGTGGATGATATTGTCCTCTACATTGAGGCCATGTGATGTTAGAATTTTGGTCTATAAATCCAGCATAATGCTGCAGTGTAATGTAAGAATATGATGGCAAAATTAATCAAGAATCAAATTCAAAATCAAGTAGAAAGATGTACAAAACATTGCTTTAGTGTAGGTTAACCAGGATAATATACATTTGATTTATAGATAGGAGATAAATGCATATGTTTATTTTCCCTAATACAAGTAGTGGAACTTAAATGTTCTCGACTTTGGATGAATCAGGTTTTACTGTCTTGATCTCCTGTAAGTTTATTTATTCAAATATTTAAACCATGTCCTATATCAAAAGGTATCACAGCAGCTTACAAAAACAATATAACAAATGAAAAAAATTAAACAGTTTAATAATTAAATACTAATAATTTGAGTAAGACAAAACATAATATTATAATAACACACACACACACATACATACCGAGTAAGCTTCCAGTCCACCACAAGATGTCTTTGTGTCCATCCATCACTATCAGCCACTTGTGTGGAGGATTTTGGAGTATTTAGGATTTCGGAATTCCAGATAAAGAATGCTCAACCTTTATTGGAATTGGTAATAACCTATCATTTATAACACTGATTATACTTTTAGTTTCTTGGTAATGAAAGATCTTTCACCCTTATTTTATCAATTGTTTTGTGCTTTTATGACTGCCTGGGGCATTTTCCAACTGAGCAATATATAAATGAAATGAATAGATAAGAAAAATGAATTAATCTATAAGCCGCCCCAAGTCCCTTTTGGGAAATGCTGGTGAGATATAAATAAATAAATATGGTTATTATTATAAATATTAAATAAATTAAATTGGATTCAGTAAGGGAAATTGTGAGGATTGGCATGAAGGGGATTAATTATTTCTGATTTCATCACTTGCATCACTTTTAATGCCAATTCCTTTCAAATAATCAGTATCAGGGACTATAAGTCTTTATCAAGCTGCATTTCTATTGCTGGAGAGGGAAATGTCTGTAAAAGAATGAGTCAAAGAAAGGGAGAGAGACTGCCATGCACATTTGCTATCGGGCATTATTGAGTCAAACCAGCTATGATTTCCCCATACAATGTGTTGCTGATTTAGTCTTTCTGAGACAAATGAAAATCAATAGTAATTGTCTTGCTGATTGACTGCCCTTTAGGGAGTACTTTACTGAATTTTCTTTTGAATGTTTTCTTTCAGTTTTTTGAACCTACGGCAATGCATATTCGAAATGACCATCAAGCCTACTGATGAGTACCAACTCAGGTGTGACACAGAACTGAAAAATTTACTGGACTAAGTGGCTAGGACAAAGGACAATTGGAACATTCTAGTCACTCAGAATATAAAATACTCCAGATTTTGAAGATGCTACCTGAGGACATGAAAGTTGACACATGAATGGCACAATCCTTGAAATGTATGCACCTGTGGAAGGTGATTGCTAGAACACGTTCTTCTGTTGATTCACTTCTTGTTCTGGCCATGTTGCTAAATAGCTCAGGGCTAAGGCCTCAGTTTAAATGTTCAGTTTTTAAATGGCAAAAATGTCCCCTACAATGTGAATTCCTTTGTTAAGTACAAATTTAAATTGCACAGTTTTGTGGCACAAATATTCTACACCAGCTTTACATTGCTAGTATAGATGAGTTTTTAAGCTGATATGCAATTTGATTTTATGAATTCTTACTCAGATGCAAATTTAGCAAATTCATTGGGGTGTATTCCTCTGTATGGGACCACAGACTTGATCTGATTAACTTAGGACAAAATCAGTTTTTGCTAGAGTGGGTGTTATGTTTAAATAGTTCAGGGACCAATGCACTTTGCGATGAAGCCTTTATCCAGAAAAACAGAATATTCATAACCCTTTAACATCTTCATCCACCTCAAGTTTACTTACAATGAAGATGGGAAAAGAGTGGCCTTGCCCTGCCTTTATTTAATGCGAAACTGGGAATTTCCTTCCTACTGGTGGATTAACAATGTTGTCTTGTGCAGAAGTAAGTTCTGTTGTGCTTGGCAGGGCTCTTATTCCATGGTAAGTATCCACAGAATTGCATCCTGAACAAAAAAATGGTTTAAGGCACTATGCATGGATTATGGTCATGTGCATGGAGCTCCTGTAACCAGATACTGTAATGCTATTCTAATGTAAAAGTGACACTAATGAAAACATTTTTCTAAAGGAGGATCCACTTTGTCTACACCTAGAAGCTCTGGGGTCACCTCCAAATCCTTTTAATGGGATTTGTGTTTATATCACTCAAACAAGGTATGTATAGAGGAGCACACCATGTATTAGAATAGTGCATCACAAGTTATTTGATGCTGAGCACAGGGATTTTTCCTCAATGTATCATGGCCTGGGACAATATTTCTGTTCATTGGCTACAGTTATTTCTTTTTTCCTTGGAAATGGGATCCTCAACCAATGGCTTAGAAACCATGAGTAGCAGTAATCCTCCTCTAGGGGAAAAGAGAAACTCCATAACAAATATTTGAGTAGATTTTTTTTTTGTTTTAGATTACTGTAGTTTTAGGACCCTTCCAAACAACCCTATATCCCCGAATATCAAGGCAGAAAACCCCACATTATCTGAGTATGGACTCAGATATCCTAGTTCAAAGCGGATATTGTGGGATTTTCTGCCTTGATATTATTAAGGAATTTAGGAATGTGTGGAAGGGCCCCTAGTTTATTTTTATATTATTGTAGTTAGAGTATCTGTGGGAAAGTTCATAAAAGCAGAGGTGGCTTATCAGATATCCTGACCCCCAATTCTTCAGGTCTTTGAAAACCAACCCTTTGAATTGCACCAGGAAACAAATAAGAAGCCACTGTGTTTCAGGCAAGGATAGAGTAATATGACCAACGAAGTGCAGGCCAGAACAATCTGGACACTGCACATTGTGTTTTCACACATTCTTAAGTTCCATGCTACAGAAAATGACACTACAGTGAGTAGACTGAAGTAGGATGGTGGCTAGTTCTGCCTTCTCCATGAAATGGGTAGAGCTGGTGTACAGGCCAGAGCGGGGCAAAAGTCCTCTTGACAGCAGCCATTTGATCTTCCACGTGTTGAATTAGAGTTGATCTCAGCTCCCATTCCTTTTTAACAAACCAATTTGTAATCTATTATTTGAAGTTGGTTCATTTAAAATAAACCACAGTTATGATTATGGTGATAAAAGAGAGAATATGTAAGTGTAAACTTCCAGTTCTTCCCACATGTTTGCACAGGAGGGCTCAGAAGGAGAGGCTAGGCTCATTCTTGTAATGCTAAATCATTTTAGCATAGCATCTGAAACACTTTTTTAAAATGAAAAAATACTGGGCATTTCAATCTAGGATCAACATATGCAAATTGTGTGAGAGAAGTTGAAAGATTAACTGTTGGCGTACTCTGCTGAGTTGCTCTTTCATTTCTCATGTATCTTAATAGAACAGGTATGAAATACTGTCTGCAAATCCAGCAGCTCTTTCATTTCAGATCTCTTCTGGAGGCATCTGGCTCTCTTGTACCCTTTTATGGCACACAATTTTTGCTGTAGTTCTTTGTAATGATCTTAGAATATCTGGGCATGAATGTAATGAGACTGCACTTTGTTCCTCAACCCATTTTCCTTCCAGTGAATGAGAGATTGGAGATTGGTAATGCAAAGGAACAGGCAACGGAGAGGGTATTCTACTCAAAGCACTGTGTGGCTGAAGGTTCCTTATTACATTACAGTAAGAACCCCTAATGAGGCTCACACCCTTTGGTCACAGCACAGCTGCAAAGGGTTTGGGGCCTCTGTTATGCATTTGGGTTTCAGAAAAATGAGGTATCTCACGCATCGGCCTGTGAAGAGGTATGCATGTTGCACTATTGTACCTTATAGGGGAAGCTGGGGAGGGGAGGCTGGAATAACTCCTTATGTTTTTATGTTACTCTTTTGGAATAAGTCATTTCCAAAAAGGAGTCAGATGAATGTTTGGCTCTTTGTGCAATTACATTTTGTCTTTTAATAAAAATGTATATTTTATATGTACACTTGTAAATATGTAAATATAGTTTTAACATCACTTGATATAGCAATAATATATGACTATGAAAGTACTGAATTTGGAAAGAAGCCCCTGATGTATGAGGTTAAATGTATTTGAACTATTTATTTCTGTATTATTTTGTTAAACTAATAACAATGTAGAGGAAGAAAGTAAAATGCAGCAATACTATAAGATTGAATAGAAAAATGTTAAATATTGGTTTTGAATGTACTCTTAAAATATAAAGTTAGCTCTCTCCACTTTTTATGGACAACCTTGTATTCCAGCACTATTGTGGGTCTGCTTCACCATGCAACAGTTATGGCCTCCATCTAAAATACATTTTACACATGGCATTATTTAATGGCTCATGCACTGTTACTTTGAGATGACTAGAAGTTTTACTGATGGCTCAGTTTCTGCATGGATGCCTTGGATCTTCTCATTTAAGTAATAGAAAGAATTTTAATGAGATATTTGTTTTTTATAGTAGTAAAGCAATATTTATTTTATTAAATGCTTTGTAGAAATATATCATGGCCATGCAACTACTTTGTAATAATCTTGCTGTCTATATCATAATAAATCTGCTGACTTTTATGTGAAACAGAACGTTGTTGATGAATATTCAACTTGGAGATATAAGCAAAGCCATGAATTAAAAACAGAGCTGTTCCAGAAAGGTTTTTTTTGCTCTTCATGATTAATGCAAACATCTTAGACTGATTCATGGTCCAAGTGTTGTACTAAAAAAAAGAAGAAGAGAAAAAGAAAAAGGGAAGAGGAAAAAACCAAAAAAAAAAAGAAAAAAAGAAAAAAGGATACGACATGCCACAGTATACAGGTGCAAATCTTAGTTTGAAAGACATACATACAAAATGTTTTGTGTAAAATGCTAAAAGATAATGCCATTATGGAGCACTTTTTAACAAAAAGGCTGTAGATATTGAGAAACTGATACAAACATCTCTTTTCAGAAAGTAAATTTTCTGGGATAAATTATGCAGAATTGGCATATACTGAAAATAGATGGATCCATCTACCTCAGGCATCCTCAAACTGCGGCCCTCCGGCTGTTTGGGTCTCCAACTCCCAGAAGCCCCATCAAGCTTGTTCAATTGTCAAGAGTTCTCGGAGTTGAAGGTCCAAACAACTGGAGGGCCGCAGTTTGAGGATGCCTGAGGTAGATGGATCCATCTATTTTCAGTATATGCCAATACTGCATAATTTATCCCAGAAAATTTACTTTCTGAAAAGAGATGTTTGTATCAGTTTCTCAATATCTACAGCCTTTTTGTTAAACAGCTGGAGGGCTGCAGTTTGAAGATGCCTGATCTACTTCTTATCAGCCTAGTTCATTGAGGACACTTAATAACTACTTGTAAATAACAAATAATTTCAATTTGTTTTCATAGGTCTTTGCAGTGGAGGTTACTGGCTATTTATATCCAGTGAGATTGTGCCAGAATTTGTGACATTACACACACTTTTCAGTAATGATATTATCTGACCAGTTCGTCAAATATGAAATAGTAAACTATAATGACATAAACAAAACACAGCATTCATAAAATTAAAAAAATGAAAATAGTGAAAAGAAATGTTCAAAAGATAGGAGAAATTAAAAATCTTCACAATGAAGATAGCAGAGCAGCAGCTACAAGAATGGCATCACATTAACAGTCCCATTTCCTTTCACTCATCGTAGCACATGGAGGTAAGCACCTGAAGAGGGTTTTGGGGTCTGGGTAGCTGTAACAGGGAGGATTCAATGAGACAAATAGTGAGAATGTTGGATTAACAATGGATCTGGCCATTTAGGAAAAATGAAGGCCCTTTTAGAAGTGGTTGAATTTTAGTCCTAACACATCAGTAATTCCTCTGACTTGACTGAACTCAACTATTTCATTTCTTTGTGGCATGTTTGCATTGTGGTTGATGAGGCAGTTAGTTCCCAATAAGTCATAAAGTTGGTTACAGAAGAGATTGGGGGCTCCACTGTATATTTTGTAGGATTAAGTAAGATATGTTTTAATATTTATTGATTTGAATACAGTACATCCCCTCTATCCTTATCTGGATTACTCTGTAGATAATACCAAACCCCATTGAAATGAAGGACTTCTGACAGAAGAATATAATAGAGTTTATATTCTGCCTTTCTACCAAAGTAAAACTCAAAGCATCTTACTGTATAATTTAAATGTGTGTATATGTGTGTGTGTGTGTGTGTGTATAATCTCCATATATTGTCAGAACTTGGAAGCTCTTGGAACAAAACATGCTCACAAAGGCCAATCCTTGGATACAGCTTTCTTCCGTCTTACCACAGTCATAAGAAAGACAGATCTAAAGGTTTCCCGCCAACCCCCTATATATATCATTCACCCATCCCACCCCCCTCTACTGACTACATTCCATTCCCACAGTTGCTATCCTTCAGTTTTGTTTTCTCCTAAGACCAGGTGACCTTATCTGTGATGTGCTCTCATTCATTCTCTCACAACCTCTCCCTCTTCACATCATGTGGGGGAGGGGGGACAGGACGGAGCAGTTAGTTCTAAGGTGGTATGGATATCCTGACACATATATCAGAAAAAGAAAAAAACTTTAATTATTTTATTTAAAACAGTTTAAGCTGCATTTTAAAATAGCAAAATGTCAAAACGACAGCACATATCACTGAAAAAAAGATCTGCCTCAGTTAAGAGCCCAAAAGAGCATATTTAAAACATTTTAACCTGATAACAGGAAAATACCAGAGAGAGGGCAAACTCAATCTGATGTGAGGAGTTCCACTGACTGATTAGCCACTGAGAAGGTATGTTCCCACATTCTCACTAGATGCACCAGTGAAGTTGGTGATACAATGGCTGCATCTACACTGCCATTTAATGTAGTGTAGGAAACACATTGTCTTGCTGTGTCCAAATAACACATAAGCGAATGCACTTTAACCCAGGAGAAAATAATCCATTTTGACCCCCAGCTCATCTGAATCTTCCAGGAAGATCTGGACCTTTGCAGGTGTTTTGAAAGTGAGGACTGCCATCTCAGATTGCCATGTATGATCCTTGTCATCCTACATTCCATGGGTTTAAGACAGTTGTATGTGGACTCCATGCGACTCAGAACAAATATTTTTATGCCACTTCTAGTTGCATTATGTGGCTTTATGGAAGGACCATGAAAGAAGAGTTTGAGAGACTTAGACCCCTTCTACAATGCCATATAATCCAGTATCTGATCCCAGATTATCTGCTTTGAACTAGATTATATGAGTCTTCACTGCCTTATCATCCAGTACAAAGCAGATAATCTGGAATCAGAAACTGGATTATATGTCAGTGTAGAAGGGGCCTGAGAGAAAGGAGATAGTAAAACCCGAGCAAGCTTGTGTGGGGAGATTCAGGCTTTTAGATCCCATTGCATTGAGCCATCACAGTTAAAGTGGTGTCAAACTGCAGTAATTCTATAATCTAGATGCATCCATAGTCAATTCTATGGCTGCAGCATTTGGGGCTCTCTGAAATTTGCAAAGAGTTCCCAAAGGCAACTCCAAATAGAGTAATCCAGATATGTTAGAGTAATCCAGATGGTTCCTTAAAAGTTCAGTTTATTACTCTAAGGTCATTTTTCTGAAAACTGTTCAGGAAGGGATGGTTATCAATATTATACTACATTGGGATGAGCATGGCTAAGGAAATTTCAGTTATACATCACAAATTCAAATAACTCGGCTTACAGAATAAACGGAAATCCAGTACCTTCATAGCAACTCCTGACCAAAGAAGCATAAAGTGATAGACAACTATAGTTCAGCTCAAACCATTCTCTTTTAGTAGTCTAGTAAAGTGATTCACTTATAAAACGGTTGTAAAATTCATATATTTGTCAATGTTCACATTTTGTTCACATGACACACTCCACCTTAGTACCTGAAGGTTGTTGTTTGGTGTGTTTTTCGAGGAATTCAATGATGACATATGGGATGGTGCTTAGGGAAGGAGTAGGAAGAAAGGGAACTTGGTGGATAGTTATTTTGAATTGTTAGCAGGAAGGCTCCATGGCTTTATGCTCCTCTGTTGAAACTGACAACCCTGGCTTCAATATATATATATATATATATATATATATATATATATTCTTAAAAATCAGGAAGTTTTTCAAGTATTATCTGTATAATTTGGCTAGTGTCTCTGGTATCTGTGGGTATACCTTCATTGCAGGGAAAGCTAAAGTCCTCGCAAAACTACAACCTCCTGGATCTTACAGCACAGAGCCATGGCAGTTAAAGTGGTATCAAACAGCATTCAATGTAGATGCACTCTATGACTGTACATTCTAAAGAAATGATTTAGCAGGTTGGGAAGATATTATGTGTAGATATTGGCTAGAATGCTGTTAGTCTCAATTGGACTATTGAACCAGTTGTTAAATGGAAGTCACCATGGAGGTAAACTCATTGATTCAATGTCTCTATTTTAGTTGGTATTAACAATAGAGCTTTGGCCGTGTGCAAGATATTTCTTTTTCTTTCATTAGTAGTAGCCTCATGCTCACAGAATTCCCTTCAAGTGTGTATTCCATTCATTTTCTTCATTTTTCAAAGTGTACTAAATATCTCCTCCCTTTTCTGCACATTTTTCTATGCATGATTTTCATATTGTGGGTATTTTAATCTCCCCTCCCCCCAACAACATCAAATATGGATTAGATTTCATATTGTGTCTCCTTGGAAAGATTTGTTTTCCAAAATGTGGGGTATAAATGAGTATAGAAGTAAAGAACACCAAGGATTAAAATAAAGAAAGATTTTGTGTTAATATATTTTAACGCCAGCTGGGTGAAGAGATGTGAGCTGACTTAAATGACGTGAATCCCTTCATAAAGGAATAGCTTGACTTCAAGAAGGCAGGGTGTTTATTTGGTTTTGTTTTAAAGGCACTGTTGCCAGTTCTGTTTTAAATGGTGGAAACTTGGTAAAAATTGACTGCTTTGAAAACGAGTCATGTCTATTCACTTGTGCTGAGAGGCAAAGTGTAGAGAAACAAAGGTGCTACATTTTAATTGGATCGGCTTCAGCTAATGCAAGGGTGCACATTGTATTGGAAAAGCTCTGTCAAAAAATCTTGAACACTCGACAGAGGTAGGTCACAGAAAGATGTGAACTTTTCTCTTTCTTTTTTGATCACTTCAAACCACATTGTTGAGAATTGAGTGGTAAAGCTCATCTGCTTTAGTTACCACAAAAATAGATACAGAATTTTAGACTCAATGATCTGCCATACCAGATAAGCAAAAATCATAAGGTGTATTAATTTATTGTGAGGTGTCATCTGATTCTTCCTGGGTGGCAAAAAATATTGTACTATTATAGAAGTGACAAAGAGACACATCTAGCTGGAGTTGACTAATGTTTAGTTATTCATTACTGCTCCCAAACATATCCCATGTTCTTTCCGTAGCCAGAAAAAAAAAATCAGAGTGGGGTGTGGGTTTGAAACTATTTTTAATTTTTTGAGTGAATCATGAAGAGTTGGTCCATAACAAAAAGTAATTTAAATTCTATGACTCATTTTATATTTTTATATCGACTTAATTAAATCAAA